GACCACTCTGCCAGGGAGCACAGCTGAGCTTGTTTCTCTGTAACGGAGCCCTGGATCTCCGTCAGAGCCCCTCACTTGGAATCCCAGAGCCTCCCGAGTCCTGGCTACTTCCCCCAGGGGCAGAGTTGTGGTTCCTGAGGAAACCTCACGTTTCTACCAAAGGGACTTCCTGTGCACCTAGCTAGCACCGGGAGGGAAGCTCATTTGCGGGATAACTTAAGCGCCTACTGAAGCGCCCTTCGGTGGGACCCGTTCAGAGTTGATAGATGCAGTTTTCTTCGGCTTTTAGAATACAAAAATGAGAGAGAGCCCTGAGAATCCACAGGTCTTAGATAACTTTTTACAAGTTCTAATTAAATCAGAAATGGACGCGAGAGTGTGGTTCCTACAGTGACACAAGGAGTAGCTGAACACAGGAAGTTTGGGGTTGGCCCTTTGATTAACGGTCGGTTTTACATCAGCTGCATCCCTTTCTGCGTGTCTTTAACCAGCGCATACTTTTGCTTGGAGGTGGCACTAATCCCGCTCACCTGCAGCATGTGGCCGGTGTGGTCCCCCCTGTAATGTGCTGGTGCTGTGTGGACAGTACTGCACGGCAGCTCCGGACCTAGAAGTTGAAGAATTCAGTGCCAAAGCGCCAGGCAAACCCCTTCAGGTGGTTTGTGCTCCCTCACGTGTTTCACATGCTGTTTGAGTTGTGCAGGAGCTCGACGAGAGCATCGGTTAAGCTGTGTGAAAATAGCAAAGAAGGGCACCCTGCTGGTAAAAACTTTTTGGATAAGGAATGGCCTACATGGTAGAGTCCCACTTCGAAAAATAGATCTTCTTTTCAACTACGAATACTCATTGTTTTGGTTACTTTTCTCTCATTGCTGAGGCAAAACACTGGACACCCAGAATTAAGGAAGAAAAGGTTTATTTAGCTCACAGTTTGTGGAGGTTTCAGTCCATACTCGGCTGGCTCCACGGCAGAGTGGCACGTGGCAGCGGGCAGCTGTTCATGGCGGCGGAAGACAGCAAAAGCAGCAAGAGCAAAAAGAAGGAGCAGGAGCCAGCCAGCCTTTCTCCCTCCCTTACACTGTATGCAGGCTGCCCGCCCCAGGGCGGGTGTCGCACTCACACCCATCATCCCAGCGTTGGACCACAGATCAACCACAAACTCTGTAAGCCCGCACCCTGACTGCATGAGGCTTTGGGGGGACATCCAGACACAGATCGTAGCACTCATCTGCTCCTACTCCTACCTTGGAGTCTGCAAGATCAGCCCCTTGGCCAGACTTGGTAGTGGTTTGCTAATTTCTCATCCATATGCTAGATATTCTCAAGGAGATCTTAAACTGTACCCCACGGGAGAGGAGGTCCCGGTGCTGTCATTTATTTGAAGCCTCTTCCCAGTGAATCATTTGAGAGGCTGCCGCTTTTGTGAGTCTCCAGGGCACCATTGCAAGGCCACGCCCGAAGCTGACGCCGGGAGCAGTCCCTGCCGTGAGGCCAGGGATGCGTCCCTGTATGAGGCTGACCAGGACTAGATCGAGACTGGCTGAACTAGCGGAGAAGAAAGGTTTTCTTCTGCAAGGCAGCGAGAGAGCGTCCGCCTCTGAGCCCTTCCAGCGCCTGCGTGTGTATTTTCTCCACAAGAGCCGAGCTTCCCGTGGAGCCCTTCCTGTAGTTTTTCCAGCCATAATTTCCACTAACATAGTCAACTTTAAAAAGTCCAGTTTAGATGGTTTTGAATTTATTAATGAAAAATTCACCACAGTTAGACCTAACCATACCCCAATCACCGAATGTCTAGACCTGGAAGGGTCAGGTGCCTCCTTAGTGTACCTTAGCAGTGTGTGGAGCAGCTTGCCTCCCTGTGGACTTGGACTTGGAAAAAGCTTTATTTTTAATGGAGAGTTTTTAAAATTTCAGGCCTTCTGGTTAGTCACTTTCTGTTGCTGAGACACAGGACCCAGCCCTCACAGCTTAGAGCAGGAGAGGTTTGCTTGGGCCCACGTTTCAGCCCGTAGCCAGCTGGCTCCAAGGGAGAAACAGCGTAGTAGAAGGCCGTGGAGGGAGAAAGCTTAGCAGCTAGGATGGGGAGGGAAGGGACGGGGCAGGGAGGAGGCGTGCCCGGCCCTGCCTCTGGGGACCACCTCTGCAGCCGGGCTGTGTCCCGAAGCTCGTGCAGTAGCTGACCCCGGGGATGAGCGCAGGGCCCTTCGGATCCCGCCCCCAAGCCCCGCCTTTGCGTGCATGAGAACTTGGGGGACACCCTAGAGCTAAAACCGTAAAAGCCATAGAGTTCTGGCTTTAACCCTGAGTATATTTGATGGCTCTCAGAGCATTTTTTTTTTAACTGTGTGTAATACAAATCCAGCCACAACAATAGTGCAGAAAGTTACAGAGCAGCAACCTCTTGGGCTAATGCGGTGTAGGCTGTACAGAAACGGCCACCTGAAATGTGCAGATCAGGCACGGTGAACACCAAGGAGCCAAGGAGCCGGCTAGTATTTCCACCCACAGTTCGTGTTCTGGATTTTCCCCCAAAATTTCCATACAGCAGACAGACATCTAGGTCAGCCCAGCAAGCTGACCCGAAGAGACCATAGAGAAACAAGTCGCCTGAGGCCATGGAGGTCCGTAACAGGCTGAGTTTGGGGCATTTTGAGTGCTTATTTGTACGTGTTTGTACACAGCTTCCGGCATTCAGCCTGACGGGCTCCTCCCCACCTCAGCTCAAACCCTGCTCCCCGCGGGGACAGGAATGACCAACGTCTGCTGCTCTGTGGGCTAGATGCTGGACTGTTCTTGTTCATATTTCTTTATTTAGACCCAGGGTCTCACTGTGTAGTCCAGGCTGGCCTTGAACTCACTATGTAGCCCAGGCTGGCCTCGAGCTTGAGGCGATCCTCCTGCCCCAGCCTCCCGAGTGATGGGATTACAGGAGTGCGCCACCACCCCCAGCCACGTGCTCTTGTTTAAGTCTCTCAATAAGTTGAGAAAAAGCTACAAAGAATGGCCTTCACCCCAGATAGCTCACTTGAGATGTTAGTAAGAATTGCCTCCTCAGTATTCTATAGCCATGATGAGGAGGAGGCCAAGGAGAGAAAACAAAGAGACCGAGAAAAAGCAGCTGCTTTTGCTGCACCACTAAGAGAAACAGATCCCAGGTCTGATTCCCGGGGCTCCAAGAAGAACTCGACAACTGCATTCATCTGCTACCACTGTTAAAAGCCAGGCCACCTCAAGAGGAACTGCCCTAAGAGGCCCCATGGGCCATGCCCTGGATGCAAAGGAGACCACTGGAGATCGGTCTGCCCTCTGAGGTGGAGGCCCCAGAGCTCAGACCCATGCTACCAGTTAGTCCAACAGGAATGAGAGGGCTTGGGGCATGGTCTGCCTTCTCCCTCTGGCCAGACCGTCATCTCCATCGAGGAGTCCTGGGTAATCATGACTATGGAGGAACAAGAAAACAGCCTGTTGTTAGTCACAGGTGCAAGTCTCTCGGTCCTTCTTTTCAATCCTGGCCTTCCTTCCAGCCATCATACCTCAGTGAAAGGAGTCACTGGTGAGGAGGTAATATGCTATTTTTGACAACCCTTAGGCTGTAACTACTTATTAGATCCTTCTTGCATATCTCTGTCTTCCTGAGAAACCACTTTGAAGATACCACCACGTATTACAGCAGCCATTGATATTTTCCTACTAATCTATCCATAACTGTGTAAAGTTTGTAATTTTCCTATCCTATTCCATAAATGGATGTCTGTTTATTATTATGTGTTTCCTACAACAACCATTGAGAATAGTTAATGATTTTTCAATAGGTCACTCATGAATAGCTCTATTTATTTTCTTTAGAAGCCACTTTGAAGATACCAATGTATAACACAACAACTCTTGATAATCTCCTACCTCTTTTGTCTCTCACTCACTATTATTTGTCTATTTGTTTTCCTGAGAAGCTATTTTGTAGATAATAATATGTAAAACGATAACCATTGATAATTTCCTACCATTTTGTCTGTAATTTGCTAAGTCCCCCCTATTATTATGTTATCCTTCTTTTATTCTTTAAAATAAAAAAAGTCTCTCAATAAGACTATGAGACAGTGTTACTTCGCATTTCACAGATGAGGAAACCAAGGTAGCATGCCCAGGCCCTCAGACCTAGTGGGGATTTGAACTCAAATTCTGAATTCCATGTTTCCTAGCGGTGGACCATATGCACAGCCTCCCCCTGCTAGAATTCCCGTCTGAGTTACTGAGCCTGCTGCAGGCATCACTTATTAGGGAGCACGGTGTCTCCCTCGTCGCCTGTCCTATGACTTGCATACAGCAGGTGCCGAGGGGATATTTTGTGATGAAAGAGTTGTTTTCTGTTTTGTAAGGGAGAGGGAATTCCTATGTAGTGAATTTGTGCCCCAAGAATGTGGCTCAGATGAACCTTGCCTCTACTGTTCTTTAAAATACCACGTTTATAATAGTCCTGGTATTACCTAATTTTGCACTCAGATAAGAATTTACATTAAAGTTAACTTACATTGTATATAGTGTTTTATTCAAAATATCTGGCTCTTTCTGGTTTGCAGTCATCTTTCATTTCATGTCAAGATGAGCACCTGTCGTTGGCAATTTTTTGTCCTGGGTGGAATGAGGGAAATAAAAATGCATGAAGCAAACTACCTGCCCTTGAAGCTCTTAGAGTTTATTTGGTAAAACAAGAATACAGACAACTGATACTGCTCACCCACCAAAAAAGATGTGGGAAGGTGTTGAATAGGGCTATCAATTCTTATGCAAGCCAGTTCATAACTGTTCATGTGTGGTATGTTTGGTAAGTAATAAATCATTAAGTCTTTTTTTTCGCTACTGGGAATGGAACTCAAGACCTTGCGCTTGCCAGTAAGGTGCTTGTGCCACTGAGCTACATCCCCAGTCCCAAATCATTTAGTCTTGATGTTGAGCTTGAAGTCATTATCATAAGGCTAAGTGTGTTATGCATGTCTTTGCAGCAAGTTTATTTCTGATCGTGAAAGTAGAAGAAGTCTCACAAACAGCCATTTGGAGAAAAAGAAATGCGATGAATATGTAAGTATCGTTGAAATCAGTGTGCTTATTTTTGTAACCACATAAATTAGGACAGATGTTTTTAACTCCTGTAGCTTAGCACCAAAAGCGTAACTGTATCCTATGTATTTTTCTGCTGAAACCTATTTAAACAGTAACTAGACTACTGAGAAAGAATTTCTTGAATTTTATTTCCATGGTGGCTCCTAGTGGCGCTTGAAAGGCTTTGGCTTGACGAACCTTCTTGGAGGCTGCTTGCTCACTGGAAACTTTTGTTTCTCTGTGCAGATTCCAGGAACAACCTCGCTGGGCATGTCTGTCTTCAACCTAAGCAACGCCATCATGGGCAGCGGGATTTTGGGACTTGCTTTCGCCCTGGCGAACACCGGAATCCTCCTTTTTCTGTGAGTCTGGACATGACTGAACTTTGCATTTTAAAACTATTTTCTGGAGGCTTCTGTTCCGACATAGAAAAAGTTGGAAATGTTTCTACATCGTTGTTACTTATTTTTTACTAACTGGAGTAAGTAACTGGTACATAATTTTTATATGCTTACAAGAAAGAGGCAGGAGAAAAATTTTTTATTAATCCAAACTATGGAAGTATTTAAAATTTAAAACACTTGCAAAGAGGGCTGGGGATTTAGCTCAGCGTCACAGCACCTGCCTGGCAAGCATGAGGTTGTGAGTTCGATTCCCGATACTGGGAAAAAAAAAAAAAACACTTGGAAATAACTTTTTAAAATACTTTTTATTTTTATACTTTTGGGCTCTATGCTGTTATTTCAAGTCTCAACTAAATGGTCAAAATATGAAGAGTCACTTAACCCAGTCAGTCGGCACCTCGCTGTCAGGGCTGCTGCAAACATGTATTATGCACAGGTGTGTCTCTAGTGAATGCTGACGAAGAAGAGGAATTTTCAGAGTTTTGGATATAACACATTTGCATTTTTTTCAGTCATTCCAAATCTGGAAACACGTGCAGTATCCTGGTATTTGTAGTGATAGTTTAAAAATCTCACTGCACAGTAAAACTCCCATGGTGCTAGATTTGATATGTGCCCAGTTTGAAAAAAGGTGGGTTGACAGCTGTAAAAATCTGTGGTAACATTCCTCTGATAAGGAAATAAGCAATCTTACACATTTTTTTAAAAAGAAAGAAAATGTGTATTACATTAATTCCTGTTTTTTTTTCCTTTTCAGTTATTATATTATATTATTTGCTAACATAGTGTAAAAAGACAATTTTTTTATTATTTATTTATTTTTGGTACCGGGAATCGAAATCAGGACCTTGCGCTTGCCAGGCAGGCTCTTGTGCCTCTCAGCTATATCTCCAGCCTGGGACAGTTATTTGATGCTAGCAGCAACTCTCGTACCCCTGCTCTGTTTCAGTCTAAACCCTGTAACAACACGAGGAAGTCAGCCCGTTGTTCATTAAGGAGCGAGGCATGGAAAGAGTAACTTGTATCTGAGGATGTCTTGTCACCTTGCGGGGGATTTCCCCCAGTGCAGTTAATTTGTTGAAGAAAGCGGGCCATGCGTCTTGCAGACTTTCCTGCAGTCTGGATTGTGCGAGTTGTACCCCTGCAGGGGGGTGTGCTATTCCTTTTGCCCTGGATCCTGTCCTTCATCTTAGACCCTTTTCGCAGCTGTCAGGTGGTGCTTCCCTGTCTGCTATATTAGAAATCGGGAAAAACAAGGGTAGTTTGTGCCTGCTGCTCTTGTGTGGGATTTATTGGTGTTGGCTTCATTTGAGGTGCTCACAGTGCCCTTCACTTATGCAAGGCAGTTTCTCTTTTTGTCTTTTTGAGACAGGGTCTCGCTATGCAGTTCAGGCTGGCCATGAGCTCACTTTGTAGCCCAGGCTGGTCTTGAACTCGCAGAGATCCTCCTGCCTCAGCCTCCCGAGTGCTGGGATTACAGGTGTGTGCTACCACGCCCAGCCAGTTTCTCTACTGTACTAGTACTTCAGCTGTCCTGGTCACCCAGAGGAGGTCTGACTCATGCTCACAGCGTCAGGACCTGACCACTGTCTCTCTGGGAAAGGGACTGGGGGTAATACCCCAGCATGAATTCTCTCAAGCCCCAGTTTTCATTACCACACCCCTCCCTGCAGAGGGTACCCAGTCCTCCACCCAGAGACCTCTATATCAAGTACCCTTAAACTTCTCCAGAGTGGGACAGGAGCGACCACACGGCTTGGTGGAGCAGAGGCCTGGTGCGGGGAGCCTGGCTGCGCCTTCACGAAGGTTCGGCGTATTCAGCCTGTTCTCGCTCCTCCCTGCCCTTGTGCCTGGCTCCCAGCAGCGCCGCCCAGGCCTGCGGGAGTTTCTGAGGTGTGAACGGGTCGGTCCGACTCCGCACTGTCAGTTCAGGATTCAGTTCCGCTACCTTCCAGCCATCAAAACTGTGTTACGTTGTCTTTCCTTGCGTTCTCCCTGTCCTAGCACACTGACACCTTTAAAAGAAGAAAATAAGAACCTTTTACTCGTGTATCAGGAGGAACAGCAGTAAATCCTTGTGCCTAATCTGCAGTCCTGGAAACCAGCTGATTTTTAATGACACAGGCTCAGGGGTAACTGACCTCCTAGTTCAGGACTCTGTAGTTCCTTCATGAAGCGAAGAATTGGATAAACATGACTTTTCTGGTGGGAGGGAGATTTTTCCCTTGATGAAACCGTTTAAGTCATTCAGTCATTCGTGAGCACGATGACTAGAGAGCCCCACACGCCACGTCCTGGGTGGTAGCTCATGAGGGTCGCTGTATAAAGACTCGAATTTAAAAGTTCTCACAGAACGTAGAGCTCCTCCACCCCAGAACAAGGGCTTACCCTGTGACTTTTGTAAAACCAGCTGCTCCTACAGCTGCTAGAAGCCAAGGAGCACTTGGCAGGATCCAGGCATTTCTTCTGGTATAGGGCTCTGCTCCAGGCTCCCTGGCCAGCCCTGAAAAGGAGTCCCAGACTGTCCGGCTTCTTCAGAAGCACAACGGAAGGCTCCTCGATGTCGCCCTGGGGCCGGTGGCAGTCTCTTCACAGGGCTCCGCTGGAAACTTGTTGGTGTGATTTCTTCTTGGGTGAATTTGGGCTCACATTTTGACCCAGCCGTCATGGCTGTCATTTCTGTTTAATACACACCTAATTCAGTTCAACTCAATGAGGTCTGCCCTACTGTAAGACTAGTGTCAGATTTTGCGTGTTCCTAAATTCTGAGACCTTGTAAGTCTAGACCTTTTGGGGTGCTGTTTTTCATTTTTCAGTCTTACTTTGGTGGTGACTGGGAATAAAGATTATGTATCTAAGAACACCTTGAACAGCGTGATGCCAGAAAAATGTTATTAATCAGTACCAGGCCTGTGGGCTGCTGAGGAGTAGTGAGTGTGAGCGTGTGTGTGTGTGTGTGTGTGTAAGAGTGAAGCCATGCAGAACGCCATTATATGGAAAGTACTTATTCAAGTATTGTGGTTATTTTATTAGGTAGTCACTAAATAATAGTTAACATTTACTGAATAGTAATCAGACAGGTAACTATATGTGCAGTATTATCTTACCCAGTTCCCACCTACAACACTCTGGGGTGGGTGCTAGCTCCATTCTCTGGGTGAACTGACTGAGGCTTAGTAACTCTCCCGTGATGGTGCGTTAGATCACTGGGACCCCATCCAGGATGGCTTGACTCTAGAACCACTGAGCTGAAGCACCGTCCTACTGCTAATGTTGCTTTCTGCAGAAACTAGCCCTGCATTACTCACACAGCGTGAGGGAAATTCTATCCTTATCCATGGGTGTTTGCAAGTTAAAGCTTACTTTTTACTTTCCAATGTACTTTAACTTAAAAAGCACCTTCTAAATTCATCAGCTTTCCTGAATTATCTTGCTAGTGTTCCACTGAGAACCATCTTTACTGTAGTGAAAATTGCTTTGCGGTATTGAGCATACTAATTTGTAGGTTGGAAGGATAGTCAAGTTCTTGGTCACAGAAGAACTGTGCAGCGGCACACGGAAAGACCGAAATGACACCCAGGATTTGGAGGCAGATTTATTTAACATCAGACGGGCACTGACAGGGAACCAGACCTTATAAAAATGCCAGGCCCTGATCTCTGGTCATCTAAGGTCCTATATGGGATAAGCAAGCAGGATGTACAGAAGCAGAATGGCTTGTCAGCTTGGGATTGGTTCTTACAATATGTATCATAGTGACCATTTACAGATGGCAGTGACCAGCTATTTCTACGAAACAAAAGTAACAGGAACTGTGACAGGAACTATTCCCTGGGCAGCTAACAGACTGAAGCGTCCTGGCTGGGGTGGTGCATCTTCTGCTGCAGTAACACATGCCTCAAGTATATTGCAAAACCAATAGCCCTTCTGAACTGCCTCATGTTTTTCATATGGGCCACCCAGCTTTCTCTCAGGTACATTTTGATTCCCTCCAGACTGCCTCAGGAACCCTCCAACTTAGTTTGTTTCAGAAGAAGTAAAGTAAGCCTTTGGTTATTACCAGTCAGTCACCCACGGGCGTGGTTGTGCTGTACATCTGTGATTGCAGTGCTAAGGAGGCGGAGGCAGTCAGATTGTGGGTTCAAGGCCATCTTACGCTTCATAGCAAGACCCTGTGTCAAAAATAAATAAATACGTAAATAAATTAGCACCAGAAAATAGCAAAGTCAAATAATAACAGGTCTATCTTTAGACAGTTGGTGAAGTAATCATGGTAGTTCTATAAAGTAGACTACTAGACTCCTACCTAAAAGACACGGTGGCACGTGCCTGGAACCCTAGCGCTTTCAGAGCTAGGGATGGATTGTGAGTTCAAGGCCTGCCTGGGGGACTTAGTGAGACGTGTCCAGATAAGAAATAAAGAGTGCTGGGGATGTAGCTCATTGTGGAGCTCTAGGCTTCAACACCCAGTACGAGAAGAAGAGAGGGAAGGAGAGAGAGAGAGAGCCGGGGGCACTTCTATGGACAGGCACAGAAAAATTTCGCAGGCGTATTCTTGGTGGAAACAGATGGGATACTGGGTGGGAGGGGGTGTGCGGGCAGGTGGTGTACACAGGTACGTGTGGCCCAGAGTGTTTCAGGAGGATAGACAGCTGCTGGCAGTAGAGTCTAGGGGCGAAGTAGACAAGGAAAGTTTATACTCTTTCAACTTATTTTTGCCATTTATTATTAAGGGAAAAAAAACTAATTGAAAAAAAAGTGGTGTCTAGGGAACTTTAAACCGGTACAATGAAACTTCCCTTTTCCTCTTACCTAGAGAAAGCTTGAGAAAATACTTTTAGTGTCTGTATTTCGACCAGGAGAGCTAGCCTGAGGGGTCAGTTCTGGGCCACCTGCTCCAAAGCGTGTTTTCAACCTCATCTCCCTTCGGATTATCCGCGCCTCGCCCTCGGCTGTGC